GTTTCGATTTGAGGCTACTACATAGTAAAAATCAGTTTTGACCTTATTTTGACCCTATTTTGACCAGATCTGCAAATGGTCGAAATAGTTTCAACTTCATGTATAATTACAACAACCAAGAATCATCTCCCCACCAGTAAAGCATACTTTTTCTTTCAAGGGGCCTTTATTGAACCTATTTTTAATTTGGTTGAAAAAGCACTTAACAAATTCCTTATTGAGAATGAACATATAATTCCTTCCACTGTCACCAAGACCTTTGCCTCCAAACATCACATAAATCCAGATTTTGATAATGCAGATACTCAATGTATGCTTAATTTCATAATTGAGAATATAAAAATTTTTGACAAATCAGTATTCCACAGTCAACATAAATCAAATCCGACTCGGCTTTTAAAAATTATAAGAACAATGTTAGCAATAGGGTAGCTCATGGAACTTTAATAGATCAAAAAGGTTGATGGAGTGACCACAAACTCCTCTGCTGTACGGAAATATGTTAGAACCATAAATCTCAATAACCGACTAAAGATGGATAAATTATAAATTATTTAGGACTCATCAATTTCCTTTACCCAAAAAATACATTGACTCGATCATAAACCATTTCATTACCAACTTGAAAAATCAAGACCCCTTCCCTCCCTTTAAAAATTATTGATAAAACTCTCTACATCACATCCATAATGCCTTCTTCACCTTACCATCCGCATTCAATATATTCACTCAAAAGCACAATAGACATTGTTCCAAAATCAAGCTTTGATGATGCATCTATAAAAGCATTTTTGTGATCATGAATTCTGGGTCTTCACAAAATCCTCTCCACCTTTATCAAGCATAACCGGAAACATGGCCCTCATCTCTCCACACTTCTGTCTGAATACTCTTTCCAACAAAAGTACATATTAGTTGCTTTATTTTACATGTACAAATCAATTGATAACAACCATTCAAAGATTCAGAGCTGGAAGGGAAGCTTGGTAGACAGACGAAAGCATTTAATATTAATAAAATCACCACCCAGAATCGAATCTTTGCTTATTCCATATAAACTGATGGTCTGCAGAAAAAAGTTGATGATAATAAAGGAGATGCTAACAAATACGGATCGAATATTGATTTGAATGAATGCAAATTATTTAGGCTGGATCCTGGAAGGATATATCTGTTTGTAGCAATGAGTTCAGATGAAAAAGTTACAACAAGGAGTACTGGAACTTAGCAGGGTTGCAAAAAAATGAGTTGTTTGAAAAAAAAAATCTTCAGGCTGTTATTCGAGGTGAACTATACTTTGTTAATTTAATTTTCTATTAAACAAAAATATCATTGAATAATATTACTTACATACCTTTCACCTAGAGATATGCCATTCATAGTAGCTCTGATTTTTTTTTTTTTGCGCATAGTGCGCACGGTGTATATATATCATAGGGAAGAAATATTATAAATGTACGCATAATAATAAGGAAGCAAATAGCATATATGATTTTTTTTTAGAAATTTTTATGGGACCCGGACACTTTACATTTGGCAATGGTAAATTTCATCAACATCAACATCACGCAGACATTCTCCAGGTCCTGTAAAAGAATTTTGTCAAGAGTTTTCTAGACACTGCAATGTGGTGACCGTTGACGAGTTCCATATGTTCTTTGTGTGATGGATGTGGTTTGATAAGCATCAAAAATTCTGGTCTGTCAGAGTCTGCAAATCAGTCTGTCTGACACATTGGAATCGAGATGTTAATGCTGCCTGTAACATAAGGAACACTTTTTTGCACACAAACACTTATGGAGAGAGACCTGATCCATTTATAAGGGGGACTTACTGACCTTTCTGCTGCCATTTTAACTGTGGCAGGATATGTCTAGCTGGTGGAAGCAGCAGCAATGATAACTTTCTATGAAGCCACAATTAGCTATAGGGAGGATTTGGATCTTCCTGATTTAGTGTAATAAGGTTTACTTGTTAGTATATGAAACAATATAAATTATTATGTTACACAAAAATAAAAATTTCCACATATCCACTGATTTCTGCAATGTTACACGATTTCAGGCTGATTTTAGGGCACATTTTCGTTGTTTTTGTTTTGTTTTAAGGTACATTTTTGATATGTTACACCATTCTTTATCTAAAAAAAGTAATTTTTATATACTTTTGTTATTATTATGTTTGTTGAGATTCGACAGTGAATTGGATTCAATAGTGAGTGAATTGGATTTTTGTAACCCCTAGATTTATATATATTAATATTTAGTTTTTTAACTTGTAATAATATTTCTAAGATTTAAATATTTTTTTGAATCAATTCCACATTACCAACGCCTTAAATCTATTATTTATATAAAATATAGATGGCATTACAGTTTACAGAATGGTGACATGTTTATGTATTGTTAATATTAATATTAATACTGTAAAGGTAATAATTTATTAGAGTTTTTATTCTTTTTATCTGTTATTATTAGTTTTTATTTTAATTTTTGATATATATATATATATATAAATTATAGTGCAAAATCAAGGCGTGAGGATGATTCTATTAAATAAATCATCAATAAAGCTAAGTATAAAAGATCTTTATAACATTCTTTGCATATTTATCAATTGTTTTGTTGGATGGTGGTATTTTTCGAATTTAAGTAACTAATTACTTGAAAATCAAATTCCAAAGTTAAACATAGGATTTTAAACTACTGTATGTAGTATTAGGAAAATAAATAAATAAAAACCACAATTTAAAATAGGGATTTTAATTTGAGATAAGATGAAAGTATATTCTGTATATACTACAACATTTCTTAAATAATGAATGAATGCAAAACAGACAAAAGAAATTGAACATTGATTATTATTGATTTTTTCTTTGACATTAAAATGATCTTTGTATCAAATTATTATTATTTTAATAAAATTTAAAAATCTAAACAGAAGTGAAATTATAATGGCGCATATTAATATTAATATGTAGATTTAGCAAAAAAAAAGGGGGCGAAATTAGCTTCTAATTCTATATAGTAACCCCTTAGAAATTTTTATAAATGTGCCCTAAAATGTTGCAAAAATCGGTGGATATGTCATGCTTTTTGTTGCAGTATTAGTATGCCCGCCCATGTGAGAAATTCAGATTCGTGCAGCCAATCGGGGTTTTTTATTTTTATAACATCATCATATTAATATCTACTGTGCCGCCGTTATAGCCAGAATCCTCTCTCTCATATTGATAGAGGTTCTCTATGTAAAGTTATTTCAAAAATAGCATTACTTTTGACCTCAAAACCGAGATTTTCCTCCAAAATTACCTTTATAAATGTTGATGAGTGGTTGAAAAGATGTAAAATATTATAAGCTTTCTTCATATGGGTATAGCTTATGTGCATTGTCAGAGAAATGGCATGAGTTATGCCCCAGACCGTTCTTTTCGTAAAATCAGCCACCACTACACGGTGACTCATCATTTCTGACTTTCGGCAAACCTTACTCTATTGCAGGCGTTTGCTTTACGTTCAACAAAACCATCAGTATATTAATGCGAAAATTTTTTTTTTATTTAGCCCACCTGAGGTATTGGAGAGATTTGGGGTTCGTCACAATTAATTATCAACACACATGACACATATCACAAGATGCAAAAACTGGTTTTCATTATCTTTTAAAACAATAAATACATTTTTATTGTTGAATATATACAAGTCTATAAAGTATATACTTTGCTTAATTGATGGATATATATAAATTATTAATAATAACGAACTCAGTTTTTTTAATTAAATATTATATTAATATTAATATGTAAACAGAAATTCTGATATGTGTAATCAATCAATCGTTTTTTAAAAATATCCATAAAATAAAACTGGGCCATTATATAGTTTTCCAATGAATCACCTCTCGTGTTGATAGAGGCTCTCTATGTGAAGCTATAGTTGTTCAAAATCAGCATTAATTTTCACTTCAAACTAAGATTTTTATCTTTATAATTTGAAGAGAGGTTGAAAAGACGGAAAACATTGTAAGCTATAGCTTTATGTGGATTGTTGTTTACTAATACTAAAGTTTAGAGAAACGGCAAAAAATCAAAGAAATAGTGTGGACACGAGAGATAATTAGTTTCCAAATGCGGTAATCTTTAACACCAAGATTAGAAGATTTCGGAAAAAAACGTTTGAAAAAACGTTTTGCGCGAATACATTTTACATTTTACTTGCAATTTTAAATTTATTATATAATACAGAAATTGGTGTACATTTTTATCGTTATTATTAATTATTATCAATTATGTGGTTGCAAATATTCAAATACGTTCAACTTACCTTGTTTACTAGGTATGTATGTAGGTAAGTAGGTAGACGTTGATATAAATTTGAGTCATTATTAAGATTCTGATCAGTTATCGTCTTTCAATTCCTTCGATTTTATGTTCATAGTATTAATATATAATATAATCTTTTTTATTTGTAATTATTATATTATATTCATTCTAATTCTCTCTGTAGTTGTTAAAAAACTATTAATAAATTATGTTGTGAATTAATAAATATACATGTAAAAATTAAATAATTTTATCATTAAAAATCTAGTATTTTTTTCCAGAGGTTCTTCTTCTCCTTAAGAAACAATAAAGAATTACAAGTGCTATTCCGGCAGCAACAACACAGGCAAGTATAATCGGTACAACAAGATTATTCTTATTGAATGAACCACTCGTATTATTGGCTGAGGTTTCACTTGGTGATGGTGAGGCTTCACTTGGTGATAGTGAGGTTCCTGTTGTCGATGCCTTTGTTGGATCACTATTAGGATTGTTTTTGTTGGCATCATCGATAGTAATAATACCCCACATACCGTTTAAACAATGTTGGGCATAACTATCAAAATAGTAAATCGATCCATTATCTCTAGTAATTTCATAAGTTAATGTTGTATCAGGCACATTTGCAATCAAACTTACTATTAAACGGTAAAGATTTATGATGGAGAAGAAAATATTTTTAGTGAAATGAAATTAGGTTTTTGAAAAAAATCAATAATTAAATAAGCAAACTTACATGGCTTTGTAATTTTCGTTGATTTAACACATTGACCGGGTGCATCGGATTCATCAATTATATGCATACTTTTAAATAGTTTGAATTTAACCTTTCAAAAAAAAATATATATTTTTTTTTAAATTAGAAATTTATTTATAGCAAACTCGACGAACAACAGCTTTTGATAATAATACTTACAGTATCACCTTTTGCGACAGTAACATTTTGTGGGCTAAAAGACAATCCCTTTTCGGCTACACTTATAACAACCTCTGCAGCGTTGACATTATTAATAACGTTAATTAATGATAATAATAATAATAATACGAGAATAGTGGTTGAATATGTACGGGGAGAAGAATAATTGGAAGAAGAAGATAAGGTCGAGGCCATGATTATATAATTAATTTTTATTATTTAGTTATATTGTCAAAATATATGTATGTGTGCGTTGTGTGTGTGTAAGTGTGTAAGTATATGTATATAAATTATAGATGATATTATTGTAATTATGAGGGAGGGAAGAGGGAAGGAAGAGAGAGAGAGAGAGAGAGAATAAAAGAATACCTTTTTGCTTTGTAAGGAACCAAGTATTATTATGAAAAGAGAAGGGAAGGAGGGAAGGAAATAAAGAAGGAGGAAAGGAGGTGAGATAAGGTGAAAAAAGAGAGAGAGAGATAATGTTGTGTAGGTATTAGGAAAAATTAAAAATTGAAAATTGAAAATTAATTGAATTATGAATGTGTATATATATATATATATATATATTTATCTATAGTATATATTTGCGGCACGCATGGAGTTTTGTTTGTATCTTTTTAAATTAATTTTTTCCTTATTAACAAAAAAAGATAATTTATGTGTTACATGTAACGTCACTTATATCTTCAAAATAAAAAAAAAGAAGTTGAATTTTTTTCTCATTTTGAATGCTTTCTCCAAATTATTTTTGGGAATAACAGAAAGTTGGAATAGAAATAGAAATTTAAATTTAGAGATAGAAAATAAAGATAACGAAATTTTACTGTAGGTCGATGAAAATTTCTTTTTATTTTTTTATTTATTTATTTATTTATATATTTAATATACATGGTTTTACAATTAAAATTAATTTAACTTCCTTGATCATCAATTAAATCATCGAATGTAATGGGCGAGTCTTTGTATTATTATCGAGATTTATGTAAGTAATAAATTTATAAAAAATTTTTTTGCATAAATCTTAAAATCATTCGTTAATAAATTATTTTTATACATTGTTATTATTATTATTATTGTTATTAATAATAATTATAATAATATTATTATTATTTGATGCTCCCAATCTTGCCTTATATTCTTAGTCTTATTCTTACATCTTGCCTTAGGTTCTTTATTTTATATAGAAATAAATAAATTGATTAAGCATCTATTTTTAGAAAAATATATCATATATATATTTGCTCTGTGATTATTATGACGGGGAATGGGTTTCTAAACTCTCTACTTCCGCATTTTATTTAATATAATTATAAAATTTTTGTAAATAATTCGAATTTCTCATCCGATATAATTTTTATTTGTTTTGATAAGTTTTACTTAAACCAAGTTCCGATACTTTATTATTACCACCTATTACGATTTAGGATGACGATTTGTTTGTTGGAAATATTCATGGTATTTATTTTATTTATTCCAATTCCAACTCACCAAGTTCAAGCTATCGTCGTTAACGAGATTAAAAAAATTATAGTTAACAAAGAAATCTTTAATCTTGGTTCTTCAAAATTACTTGACGACAATTAGATCGGATCACGCAGTTAGAGTGTATCGCTTCAATGACATTTTGTTTTCTATTGGATCCTTCTTTTCACGAAACCAGGATCGACAAGTACAGTTTTGATGAATTTTAGATTAGTATTAGTCTGCTTTATGGTAATAAATAAATAAATAAATAATTGTTTTATTATTATTTTTACAGCCACACGACGTTAGTAAACTGCAGCCACATGCTTTGTTGTTATTTTACCACCATTAGATATATAAAACTGGGAATTAACAAACCAACAACAACAGCTATATCTTGCCCAAATAAATAAATAAATCGTCATATTAATGATAATTGAATGAATTGGAAATATTCGTTGGATGGAATCCCTTCAATTCACGATATGATCAAATGAATGGACGAATTGGATAACAAGATTTATAGGATATTTTAAATTAAGGTTTTCCCATAATAACACATAAATATAAATGAAACATAAAATAACAAATCGATTTTATTCATAGTAAAACTACTCGCACATATTGAATTCAAACCTTTTATTGATTGGCTAACATCGGATATGTCCGATGTTGATCTCAATATCCGATATAAGAATTAACTTTACAATATTGATTTTAATTATATGTTAATTTTTTAAATTGGTAGTAATTCATTGACCACTTAATTTGGTATAGTTAAACCAGTTTGATGAAAATTCATAATTATTCAACAAAGCTAGACAAAGTGAACATAACCACAAAAAATAACCTCATAGTTCAAAGTGTTAAAATGTCGCCAATGATTCCTGATGCCTTCTATTCCATAATTTCCTAGATGATATATAGGGTTAAAGCTCCGAGCGGATTAATTCGGTTTAACCGATTAGAAAATTTTTTAGGAAAGATATTCCATATTATTTTATTCTTGCAAATTTGGTTAGAGCGTATACCTGAATTTCGTAGTGCCTTCCTTACCCGTGTTACTTCATCATGTTGTACAGTTTCAACGAATCGTAATTAAATTCTTGTTTCTTTTCGTATTGTTTGTATATTATATAACAAGATTACACATCAAATATCATAAAAAAAATTAAAAAGAAAACCTTGTAAATAGTAAGTAGAACCCACCTCAATGTCAAATGTTCAATTGGGTCTGTGTTATCCGTTAGTCCATTGATCATTAACATTTAAAAGCACAGTATTTGATATGTGATGCACGTGACACTAATAATTATACTAATTATGTATGACGAAACTTTTGACTTTAGTAACTAAAGTATTGACTAAAGGTAATTTCTCACCAGGGCCATTTTGACGATTTGACTAAAGTAAAATCCCTTGGCGTAAGTAAAACCACTTGACGTAATTAAAAACACTTGGCGTAAGTAAAACGCTTGATACAAGTAAAAACACTTGATACAAGCAGCAATAATGATGATGATAAAATAGGATTATTAAAAGTTCCAAATTGAGTGCCCGGGATGAATAAAGAATTATCATGTCATTGTATGTATATTGTAATGGTGCAAGAAGAATAATTATCATGGGAAGTTTACAAATGTTATAACTTGAATTAGAAATTTTATTCAATTAAATACTTGTTTTCTCCGTATATTTCTTCAAAATAAAAATGCCTCTTCTTTTTTACAAATTTAAAACTATTCTTTTATTATTATCGCACTTCATAAAATCCAATTGACTTTACATACTCAAATTCATAATGAACAAACATATTCAAATAGAAACCCTATTACTACTATTAATGACATTAATTCGTAACCTGTGAAACAACTGCAAACATTATAATTTTCAGAATCTGACATTACCTCACGTGACTAACATGAGTCAAGAAAATTACATGACCACGATAATTTTATTTTATTTTAAAAAGAGTAACTATTAAAAACTAAATAGAAATAACATATTTATATTTTTCTTGGATAAAATTAATTCTACAACCATTTTTACATCATAATTATTTTTAGTTGCTTACTCAAACCTTTAAATTTTATATATATATATTTAAACTTCGAGATTAATATCATGTGTTAAAAGTATATACAATTTTAGTTTATATCAACATAAAGGGTGGTTACGTTGGGGTGAAAGTTGGAGTCCAGAAAATTTTAATTAGTGATCTGCAAATTTTGCGCCAAATTCTGTTATTATGAAAATTTTGCAGATGTTTCACGGATTACGAATTAAAAAAAATTAGGCCATAAATAATTACGACTTTTGGGTGCCATGCTGAATTTATTTATGCAATTCCGAATTGCCGTAATTCAGTGCACAAATCATAAAATAAAAAAAAAGATTTTTTTTTTAACGGAATGTAGAAGGGTGTTGGGAACATATCAATATTAAAATCTAAATATATTGCTAGTAATTTTGTTTGATTTATTTTTGATTTTAATTTTTTTCGACCCTATTTTATTAATTATTCATCAAATTTTTGATTTATGTTATATACTGTAGTTTGCTTTTATGATGAAGTAAAAGGTCAAGGACAAGCCCAATTAACAACCCGCAAAAGTAAATATCGTAGATATTTTTATCAAATTGTGTTTAGCCAATGATTATTGAATGATTGTGGTTTGATGAATTATGATGTATTTAACTTGTTTTGATCTAGTTTTTTATGGTTAGGAATATAATAGTAAATTACTAATTTTTTTGAACCAGAAATTTCTTTGTGACATGTTCACTTTGTTGGGTATGCTATTACAGTCATGTGCCATATTTTCTTATTTTTATATTGTATTGTTTTAAAGTTTCTTCAATAAAAAATTTTTTTAAAAAAATAATTGTATCACTTATATATATATGTATACAAAGAATTTAAAAATGTGGTATGCGAAAAAGTATGATCCACTTCAAGGTAAACTAATAACGATCATACCCGTACTAAAACTTCAATCAACTATATAATAAAGAAGTACTTTTTATATATTTAGCTGGAAGTATTGATGGAACTGATTCTGTACCGCACGATCATGGAATTATAAGAGCTCAGTTATCAAATTGTAATTAATATTATCAGCAGGTTTTTTTATACACACTACATGATGTGACTCAACCAACTAATAATATATTTTAGATCTTCCACCCAGAGATAATAATGATATTACTAGTGATCCATATAAAACTTTGTTTGTTGGAAGATTAAATCCAATTACTACAGAAGGTAAAGAAGAAAGAAAATCTTTGGATTTTATTATTATTATTTTTTCAATCAGTTGAATACCATTAAATTATTTATTATTTAGGAACATTAAGACATCTTTTTGAGAAATTTGGATCTATAAAAAAAGTTAAACTAGTGTGCAACCTAGGTAGTTATATATATATATATATGCTATTCAATAAGATTAGATGTTTAGATATGATGGATTATTTCAAAGAATGCAAATTCTTAAATGCTTTTTTAAAAAAATAAATTAGTGACAGGAGATCCACGTGGATATGCTTTTATTGAATTTGATCATGAAAAAGCTTGTGAGGATGCCTACAAAGTAATAACGACTTTAATATCAACATCATCATCATCTTTATGAAACATATTTCTTATTTATTTATTTATAGAATTCATATAAATTGACGATCGATGATCGTATGGTTTTAGTTGATTATGAAAGAAGTAGAGTAATGAAAGGATGGATACCTAGACGTTTAGGTGGCGGATTCGGCGGTAGAAAAGAATCTGGCCAACTTAGATTTGGAGCAATTGACAGACCGTTTAAAAGGCCATTGTAAGCTTTATCTTTTTTTTTTAAAAAAAATTTTTTTTTTAATTGTACAATAATATTAATTCACTTGGATATTTTCAAGGCATGTTGTAGGAAATCAAAATATGCCTGAAATCCTTCCTGATCAGAAACATGAAGACTGTTGGCGCAGACAAGATAAACAGAGATCTAAAAATGATCATTATAGAAATGATAGAAAAAAACCAGATGATAGGCATTCATATAGCCATGATAGGAATGATGTTGGTGATGGAAATAGTAGTAGTAGATATAATTCATCAGATTCGTATTCTAAATCAAGAAAAAGGCCGAAAAATCATCATCATAATCATCATAATCATCATAATCATCATAATCACCATAATTATCATAATCACCATAATCGTTAAATTTTTTTGGTATTAATTTATGAAATTATTTTACATGATTTTTATTTATAAAGTTAGATAAAAAATAATTAAAAATAGAAATTTGCAAAGATGAAGAAGATTAGCAAGAAAATTAATAAATTAATTAATATTATTAAAAAGCTGTACAAACATGCTAAATATTAATATATTAATATATTAATATATTAATTTTTCATATATGTATATACAGATGAAAAACTACTATCATAATAAAATTAAAATAAAACAATGATTAAATATTTTTAAAAAAAGAAAATAGTTTTCAATCACCCTTCACAATAAATCGCCCATACTTCATCTTCATCGTCATCTATCTTCTCCTCCATAAAACTTTCAACATTTTCATGAATGATTGCTTTATCGTCATCTATTTTCTCATCCACCTCCACAAAACTTTTAACATTTTCATAAATGATTGGTAACCAGTGAGAAATTGCTTCAAAAACATAATTAAAAGTTTCTTGAGATACCTCAGCAATCTTGTTAACAATTTCTTTAACATGTTTCGCCACTACGTGATATTCCTCAACTGCTCGATTCACGACCTGATTCATTCGTTTATAAATTGTATCAATAGCAAGACTGTCACTACCATCTTTGTCAATAAATCCAAAATATTCATTTTTCAAAAATTCGCCATAATCTTCATAATTATCATTGGTTGTGAACACTTCTTTCTCTTCTTCGTGAGCTATATTTATTGGAAAATAACTGAATGCCTTCATGATGGTACCATTTTTATCGATGATTTCAATCAATAAATCTTCATTAATCCCAACAATTTCCTTATAATCAAGGTCGAAGTAATATTGATTCTCATCAATCATATAGACATTTTTCTTGATCGATGTCTCATTACCATAATGCAAAATAACCTCAAATCCTTCGTAATTAGCATAATTTGCATTTATAATATCAAATAAAAATCTATTATTTGACATTTGCCAAACTTCAACATATTCTGAAGATCCTCTATAAGAAACATGATTATTATTATGATTATGACCAAAATATTGTTTACCAAAAACCAAATCATATAATTTATCAACAGAAGTATCATTGTTCTCAATACTATTGTTGTCCGATTCAAAGTTCAACTGAGAAAGACTTGTCAAAATAAAAAGTGTAAAATAAGCTATAAACATAACTACAGTTGCTTTAATAATAAACTTTTCTTTTGTTTTAAGGAAACCCTCACGATTCGCCGAGTCATTTTTTGATTGGTACTTTTGTTTTAATTTGATTGCCTGAGATCTTAGGATTTGCATATTATAATAAACACATTCATCATCCAATTTTGAGAACTCTTTGTCAAGCATTACTTGTGTTGTAGAAACGTCACTGGCTAAATCTTCATCATTCACAATATCATCATTCCATATAAAGAGTCCGATTTTTTTATATAGAAAATATTTCAATAGTTTTTTACGATTTCCTTCCACTACACACTCTAGACCAGTTTCTGGATCGACTGAACAGATAACGGGAAATAAAGTCACATATTTGTGTAGCTCTAGCATAATTGGAATATGTACAGAAGGTATTTTTGAAAACTTTGATGGTAAAAAGATTACACATAGATCAATCCAACGACGATTAATTCTCTTACAAGTAGTAGTAGATTTCATCTTTCGTTTCCGGTCATTGCCATCGCCAGATTTGACCTTTAAATAATTTTTGAGTAAATTATCTTTGGCATCTGATAAAGGTTTGTTGGTAAGGTCAAGTACGCATAGTGAGACTTTAGTATCGATGTGATAATCATTTCCTTGTGGATATAGGATATGACGTTTTTCCTTGACATCGGATTCTTCTTCTTCCACCTCTTCTTCATTATACGAAAAATATTTGCCAAGACTTACTGATAGTTTTGAGAAAATATTGTCTTTACAATGTTTATCTACACTCTCACCGAGATATGCAACATGAAATGATGAAAGAGAGATCTGTTCACGATTTCCATATACTTGTTGATCTATCCAAGTTTTTCCTTCGTCATGACCTATAAACGATGATGATAACAATCCACTAGAATCTGTCGGTGTTGATGAATGTGTCGAGTATGAGTCGTAGCTTGATAAGTCAGACAAATTATCTTTATATTAAAACAATAAATGACAAACAAATAAATAAACAAATGTAATAAATGAATATATATATATATATATATATATATATATGAAGCCAAAGGGAGTTTCTACTTACTAATTGGCAAGTATTCAGTACTACTATTATTAGGATCTTTGTAATTACCTTGGAAATGATTAATGATTTCATAATTGCTGTCCAATTCTTCTTGTCTTGAGCTAGAAGATTCTGTTTTGTTAGAATTCATTTTGGAGAAATATAAAAGATTGAAATTTTACTGGCAATAATTATTATCAAAAAAATATATATTAATATTAATATATGATTTAATTTTGATAATGCAAGTCTTATTATGATCATCAAAATTAAGAAATTTCAGGGATAAAAAAATTCCAACTGGGGTGTACCAGATGACAAAGAATTTTTTACTTTCAAACAACAAACTTTATTTATTAATGCTAATAAAATTGTTGAATTCTAATATATTAATAGAATAGTTATTAATGTGATGACAATAACATATTAATATACATTTTAATAGTTGCTGCAGCGGATTATGATTTTTAAAATTTTTGTTTCACCACCATCACATAAATAAATTCGTGAGATTAGTAATTTTGGCAATACAAATAACAAAATAATAAAACGTATTTTAAATGAAGTTTTCCTATCTATTATTACTATCACTATTATTATTACTATATATATATTATTACTATATATATATATTATTATTATGTGTCACACATGATAGGACTTCGGATGAACTCCGATCTAAAGCTAATCTTGCCTCCACTTTAAGAACTACTTGTGGTAATACATGGTCATCCATCATCTTTAGTGCTATTTAAAAATAACTTTGTTACACTTTTCCATATTACATGTAACCTCAAAAGGCAGATACTTTTACACCCTGTTGCACAGCCATATCTCATGCTCTAATTGGCAGAACTGAAATTTTGGCATCTCTATTTAAAAGCTTGCTTTTTTACTACAACATAGAAATTCGCAATTTGACGATCACTTGTGATAAAATTTAATTTATTATTTTATATATTAATATTTCAACTTAACTTTCAACTTCCGGGCCAACTTGAGGCATGAGTTAGATAATAAGAGAAAAAAATTTTTTTTTTAAATTCAGTTCATCATCTTTATTAATATATATACATACAATGGGCATATATAAAAATTAATTTTTTTAATAATTTATTTGTTAATTCATTTTCTTCAGGGTCCACTTTTCCTTTGATAATTTTCTTCTTATTAAGGAATGGCTTATTTCTTTGACAACATTTAAAGATGTTAGAGCTTTCTAAATCTCTATAAAAAACAACATGGGAAACATTCTGAAGCTAATTTGAATAAACAACCTATTAAAAATATATGTTTTTATTGATTAATTTATCTAATAATAGCTTGTCCATTGATCTTTGTGGTTGTTTGACCACAAGGGTCAAGAATATAAGTCTTGTCTATTATGGCTTTGAGTAGATACATAATCTAATAGATTATATGTCTACTTAGCCAGGTTATGTATCTACTAGGGCTAGACTATGTATTTACTATAACTAGAGTATGTATCTACTAGGTAGATATAACTATGACTATGATCCTGGTATGCGTGTGTTGGCACTCTTTCTTTGAGTGTGATGTGATTCAATACTTTGGCCACATGCGAACTATCATCAGAATAACGATGTGGCCAATTCTGAATTTTTGACCACATTCGAATGTGGCAGATTCCGCGTTTTTGGCCACATTTGAACCTTCATATATCTCGTGTCAATTGTGTGGGCTATGCCAGAACTGGATGCAAAGCATCCTAGCTTGCAAATGCGTATTGATGTAATTTTTCATAAAATAGACTATTTCGTGATCATGTGCTAATAGTCTAATAAATCGCTACAAAAACTTATAAATAGAACCTTTATCCCTCCACTTTGGACCAAAAAAACCAATTTGTAAAAAATGGGTCTGATTCATTTTCGTCGACACCCATTTCGTCGAAAGTTCATTTCGTCGAAAATTATTTCGTCGACAATCACTTCGTCGACAATCACTTCATTGACAATTATTTCGTTGACAATCGTTTCGTCGAAAGTTCATTTCGTCGAAAGTTTATTTTGTCGAAAGTTCATTTCGTCGAAAATTATTTCGTCGACAGTTCATTTCTACAATAATTCATGTTAATTTGATGTATTACCAATTATGTTTGAGAGAGCGTGAATTAATTGATGATAACAATTGTTTATTATGTTTATGTGGAATAGGTTTACTAACATATTAGTTTAATTAGTGGATAATTATGGTTTTAAATGTTTATTTATTTTATTTAGTCGAAACTAATTAAAGATTTAGAGCTATGTTTTGACGAAATTTTAATACATGTAATCATTGATTGACCAATCAAAATCGTGAATTTGATAACGTAAAAATAAATGAATTATTTATATTAATATGAGAGTTAATAAAAATATTCGACAAATGGTTCAAATTTAAGAAGTTGGAAGAAAGCATGCGACAAACCTTCAAAATAGTCTAATAAATTAAATTGTACTACTCGAAGATGTATTTAAAAGGTTGGTTTTCAACTTGGTTGAAAACCAACTCTCTTTCTAACTCGTCTCTTGACCAATCTCTCGACATAACCTTATATGGTGCAAGTCACTTAGTCCCACAACTTTTTATTGGTCATTCGTTTTGCAAACTTTATAGATATTGACTAAAATTTACTTCGATCAAACCCGCCTATATAATTATTTGAATAATTGATAATAATAAAACGTTGGTAAATATATTTTACAAAAAGCTTCGTAGATCTCAACTACTTTAATACTTACTTCGATCAAACCCGCCTATATAATTGTTGAATAATTGATAAACATTCGTTTTGCAAACTTCATAGATCTTGACTTTGACACTTGCTTCGATCAAACCCGCCTATATAATTATTTGAATAATTGATAATAATAAAACGTTGATAAATATATTTTACAAACAG